TGAATGCTTCTCATTCAAAAAACTGGTACTTTTGCTACCATAAGGCAGTCCACTGTAGTGATTGCAGAAGGGATCTGGCCCCTTCTTTATCACCCTTCTCTACTCATTCTACAGCGAATTTGAAGGTAGCAGATATCTGCTACCTTTACAAACTTTGTGTTACAGACGTCAGTAAAAATAGCTGGGCCTACTGACTATATCAGTGTTATGTAGTTTTAAAACCTACTGAAAAAGGAGCCACGCATGAAGTCTTTTACAGTCTTTAGCCACTGCCTCTTTCTTCCCAGTGCTGTGATCTCTATTTTTTTTTTTTCTTAAGGAAGATGCAAGAATTTTGGGATGCATATGGATAGTTAAGTGCCATGGGTAGGGGAAGGAGGGAATAATAAAATTTTAGAAACCCTGTATTTATTCTTGACTTAAGGACTCAGAATAGAAAAATGAACAACTTTACCTTTTTCTGTTCATTCTGCAGTTTATACAAATGCATTGAAGGCTAAGTTGGGGGTGATCTTTACTTGAAGTAAAAATATAACAAATGAAATTGTGAAAGACAGGTAACAGAAGAAAAGATACTGGTGTACCATAAAAAAGATTTTATTGCAAAAGTAGAGAAACTCAGATTTTAGTGAGTCTCCAAAGTTACATCTCACAGAGACTTAGATTTAGCCTTGTATTTTCTATATCCAGGTTTTGCAGTGGGTACCTGTAAATCCTCATATCTAAGGCATCTAGCATTCTCATATCTAAGTGCCTCTATAGAATTAATCTCCTCGTCCCCAATGAGTTATTTTTTCTCCTTCCGTCTGTCCGTCCTTCCTTCCTTCCTTCCTTTGTTCTTTCCTCTCCTCCCTCTCCTTTCCCTCCTTCTGTCTCTCTGTTCTTTCCCACCTTCCTTCCCCTGCTTTCTTTCTGTCTCTAGTTTCATACTATGTAAAGCTAATTCAAACAAGCAAATTCATTTTGGATAGTGTTTGAAACTGGTTGGTTTTATCATTTCATGTAATTGGCTGTGAAGCATTTTGCCTGTGTTGCTAAATCCCTTTCCTCTGAAAACAAAAAAAACCCCAAGCAAACAAATGTGCTGTCAGTTTTTTGGCAACATCTTTAATCTCAAGTTTGGCATATTCATATTTCCTAACAAATGCGTCTATCATGTCAGCTATCATGGAATGAAAGAGAGATTTCTCTAAGGAACATTTTTGCTGCCAAAATAGGGCAACATAGAGGAGACTTTTGTTTTTATCTTTTCCTCTGAATACTTTGTTGCCACTTATTTAAAAGAACAGTATTTTAGTAAAAAGTTTCATTTTGAACTCAAACTGTTCAGAGATTTTCAGAGGGAAGAAAGGACAGATATCCGGCAGACCAAATGGCTATCATCAAGACATCCTTCCATCACAGGACCAGATCAGCTGTGCCTAATTTTTTCTACTGGAGTACTTGTCCAGCCTGTTTTCAGTAATTTCGGAAAGGAAAATTCCATGCCCTGTATAGCTTCTTCCTTTATTAATAAAATAGTTTCAGGATTATTCTTTGTCCTGAACAAAGCATGGGAGAACTCTGAGAGAGAGAAAGCCACACCGTGTAATGCCTGGTGCGATGTATTCAGGGACAACGGAAAGGGGAAGTGGCATTTAGACTTGTAACGATAGCATAAGGCAATAACTGAGGTAAATAATGTTTTCTTTTGTCAATTTGGTTAGCAAGTTGTTCTGCTTTCTGCTGTTCTCCAAGAGCAATATGGTCTGATTTTGTATTTAGGCAGTGCCTGCCTTCAGGTGGCTGAGCTGCCTGTTTTAAACTGAAAGTGATTGAAACTGGTTTTAGTCTTAGGGGTGAGGGCAGGGAGGGTGGAAGCAGGTCCCCTGTATTGACTTAATAGGATTCCAGAATAACTGTTTTTTTCATACTTGCGAATTGTTCGGAGTCAGGGAACAGCCTGGAGAGGAGATGAACGGTGACTTCTGCTGCTTTTATGTGTGAAGGGGCTTATGGGAACAGTGCAAGTGTTTCTGCAAGTGACTTCTTGAACATATGTGCCATGCTTCTGATTTAGCCTGGTGTTACCTCTCTGGGAACTGTCCTTTCTACCTTCGCATGGAGTTCTTTCACCATTGCTGTCTCTCTGACCCCTGTCCTACAAGGAGATGGTCTTTCTTCTCTGCCATTTCCTACCATTCACTCTGCCTTAAGAAAAAAATTATTATTTTAGTATACCTCAAAAGGCTACAGCAAGTTTGGATTCACAGGGCTTGTATGATATGTCTCAGTTCTTCCATTTCAGAACTGGTTTGTAACTTCTATAATTCCTTGCTGGCAAGAAGCAGCAGAGAGCTGCGTTGTCTCAGGAGCTGTCAGGAATCAGAGTTGTGATTCCAGGAATCAGTCTGTTGTTTCCCTTTCATTCCTAAGCTGATCTGTTTTGACAGTATAGTTTATTGTCCACTTTGAACTGCCTCTAAAGAGAAGACTTAAATTCTTGCCAGCCTCTGTGATCTGCGTAGGTGAGGGTTTGCATTACGTTGCACTTCCATATATTCTAGAGTGAGAAAGCAAATAGAGTCTTTCCTCAGTGCATGCAGTGCATACCAGAAAAAGTATGTCTCATATTTTCAAGACGTAGTAAGTACTGCCTTGACATCTGACTAAAGATACAGGAAAGGAGAATGAATTTTTAAGATATTGCTCTAGCATTATCTATTTGCAAACTACCAAATGCGCTACTATTCAGGACACAGAGTAGAAAAAAGAAAGTATCTATTTCATCAATCTTGTGACTTAACAACATTTATTACAATGCAACACACAACTGTAGAATAATCTTTGCCAACTAAAATTTGTGTCACACACTGACAAAGTAATTATATATGGTACTTAATGATATTTCAGTAATTCATCCAGATCTTGGCTCTTGACTCCTAAGAGAAATGGAGGAGACCTGTCCAGTAGTAACTATCTATTAAGAATGTTTATCACTAATATGGCTAATCAAAATCTTGGCAAGAAGAAAAGAGACCTGTCATAATAGACTCTTCCCACTTCAAGGAAATGAGTGGAATTGTGTGCTAATTATTTTTCTTCTATTTTTTTCCTCCCTTGCAGAACTTTCCTTTTTGTTAGAGATGGTAACCCAAATAAACGGAATGTGCACAATGAGACATCTATGCACTTACTGTGTATGGGACCTCAGATCATGATCTCAGAAGGAGCTCTTCATCCTCGCCTGACACGACCCTCAGAAGATGACTGCAGGAGAGCAGATTGTCTGCAAATGATCCTGAAGTGGAAGGGAGCAAAGCTGGATGAAGGACAATACGAACGAGCAGCCATTGATGCTGTTGATAACAAAAAAAATACGCCTTTGCACTATGCTGCTGCCTCAGGGATGAAAACCTGTGTCGAGGTAGAAGTTCATATATAATCACAAGTGTATATACTGCTGTTAGTAAATGACATGCACAGTGTTTCACAAAGCTGTTTTGGGGAAAAAAATCTGATATAGTATATTGAATTAACTTTTAAATTCTATTTTTCATTAATTGGAAAAATTACAAAGATAAACAGCCCAAAACGTACACTGTCTGTAGAGAACAATGAAAAAAACTGTATTACATATATATTAACTTCATGACATATACCCCTCAGCACAAAGACGACTCATGTAGGCTTATAAAAATTGGAAATTATTACAAGACTCTAACACTGGAGAAAAAGCTTTAAAGGTAGGCATAGGCATACCTATATGTGTAAAGAGAAGTGAAATAACTGCCTGAGAGAAAATTAGAGCTCTTTTTATTGTGCTCTATAGCTGAGACTGGGAAATGCTGTCCATGTTTCAAGAACAGGTTTGATGTCTTTAATTTACAGTGTCCAGCTTTTTTAGAGGATGCCATACATCTGTGCTAACATATTTGAATATAATTATCTTTTTACAAATTAAAAATTACTTTAATGCTTGTGAAAGTAGTGGGTAGTAATGAGTAATTGGGAATCATAGTGACTTTGAAGGTCTCCCATCAAATTTATTTTTAAACTATACGAAGTAATAAGGACTCATATTTAATTGTGCTGGTAATTTAATTTATAGAACACAAGAACAGACATCTAACATTTTCAAAAACAGCTAACATTTTCATAAGTGTGTCTGTTATAACATCAAGATTTGTATTTTGAATGGTAACAATTCAGAATTCAGCATTTATATGTAAAATTTAGGTTATTTTTCATCTGTGTGTAACTTCATGTTTATTGAGACTACACTCATTAACTAGTATCATCAGCAAAGTTTATCACCTCATTATTCACCTGCTTTTCTAGATAATTTCTGCATATCTTAAACAGTCAGGTTCCAGCACCTGTGGGACTTCACTGGTGACTTCTCTCTGCAGTAAAAACTGATGCTCTCCCTGTACTTTCCTGATTTTCTCTGGAGCTATTTTTAGTATTGGTGTTACTTTTACCACCTTCTAATCTTGTACTGTGACAGATTTAAGCAGTAAGTTGCATATTATTATAAGTAGTTCAGAAGTTTCGTATTTGAGTTCCATTAGGACTCATGAATAAGTACCATCTGGTGCTGGGTATTTATATTAGTATTTGGTTTATTGGTTGTTCTAGAGCCTCTTGTGCTGAGACTTCAATTTGAAACAGACTTCCTTTTGTGTCCTTCATAAAGCGTGTGTGGTACATCCACAGAGAATCTGGACTCCAACAATTCATATCACTTTTCTGCTTTATGTTATTTGAGATTGCTTTTGCACTTTGTCGAGCTACCGACTTCACAAACACATTGACAGATTTACTGTGTGATTTGAAATTATTTATTCTGAGTCGTTATGCACTTGGCATGCTGCTCAAAAAACATTCAGAGCCTTCTTTATTGTGATTTTACGTTTACCTTTTCCAGACTCTTCTTTATATATTCTTCATCAGGAGACAACTTCAGCTTCTTGTTTCCCATACGATTCTGTCCTGTTGTTCTACCTTCACAGATTCTTCTGATGTTTCTAGAATTTTTTCCCATGCTTTTATTTAATACCACTTTTTGAAAGTAGGCTTATTTGGCTTATTTGGATTATTTGGTTTTTTCCTGCTTCTGCAAGAATGGTGAATCTAAGTACATTTTGGGAATTGTTATTGAGTGGTTCTTTGATGGTAATGTTTTGAATTAGGTCTGGTAGACTACTCTGGACAAAGTCAGGAGTTGCTTCTCTCGTGTTTGCTAACTATTTTGTCTATTATTCAGTCACTTATGTAGTCTGAAATTTTAAGTTAAGCATCATGTATTAGCATAGCATTTTCTCAATATACTTGGGAGATGCAGTGACTGAAGTTCGCTTTATTTTTGGGGTTTCTGCCCTTGCAGCGTTTCTGCTCTTGGTCAGCGTGTCACTTTTATTGTTACGGTTTTGGTCAGGTGGTCACCAAAGCATTTTTGTTTAAGTCCAGAATTGTATTCCACTGGGATTCTCTGGCATTTGTTGGTAGAGTTAATTTATTTATCTGTGAGTTAGTTTTTTTTAAAAAAGGTAAATAGCACCACCCTTCTAATACTGTGAACTTCTCTGTGATTCTCACATAATATGTTCTGTGGTATTACTTTGTTACGCTGATTGTATTCTGTCAAGTTTCCAGATACTGTCTGAAAATTCTTATTTAAAATTTGTCATTTCAATTCCCCAGCCTTAGCTGTGCACCATCTTGAATTGGATGCTCTTCTTTATCTTCAGGTTTTTCATTAGTGCCCTCTTTAAAAGCTCAGATAGTGTCTTTTTATTTTCAATAGCCAACACTTCTTTCATTCTGTTAGTACAAAGATCATCCTTCCTAGTTTTCTGGGCTTCTAATGAATGGAAACTCAGCTTCCTTATGCCATTTTCTGTGCTATAACTTAAGCCTCTGTCTCTCTGGTCCCCTGCTCAGTACTGAGAGGAGTTAAGAGGATGCTGATGTTAGATGCTGATACTTAACCTCCAGTATCACAGCCTGAATCTTGCCCCTGTTTCTTCTCTCTTCTCTGGCCCATGTTGTTACAGCTCCACAAGCTCCAAGCTAGCAGTTTGTCTACAACATGTCCCTGGAAATTATTTACACACTTACTGATTTTCACCAGGGAGGCAAATCACTGTGCAGCCTTTGCTAGCTGAATTATACTCAGACCCAGCTAATTATGTACATGGTAACTGAATTACAGACAGGTACTGCCTTGCTCTTCCTGTCAACTAGAATGAATCTGTCTTTATTTGTATGGTTATATGGTTGATTTATTGCCTCTTTTGATGCGATTGATTTGTAAACAAACATCAGGCTATCTCCTAAGTCTATGTTAATACTGCTTTTATCTTGATTGTCAACTTTTAATTATTTTTAGATTTGATAAACAAACAAAAATATTAATTGCAGAGGACTGTGTACTTTTCTCTTGTTCTCTTTTTTAATGCCACTTCTTTGATCCAGCTGCCTGATAAATTTTGGCTACAGGGATTTTCAGTCACAGTTATTCTATCTAGTCTTCCCCAAGAAGATCTATTTGCTTTTAAACATTATTCTACATTAGAGAACAAATGTGCATGTCGTATCAGAAAATGGGAGATACCAGGATTTAGCATTTAACAACCTCTTTGAGTAAAGTTGGTGAAAAGCACTCACATAAAATGGTTTGACATGAGAATGGTTGCTTCTGGTAGAGAAATGGTAAACAGAATAAAAGTTTAGTAACCAGTTTCCAACATATTTCAATTTCTGGTATTTACAGGCTTGCTTACTCACATTTGTGAAATATATGTCTATTACACTGATTTGTAAACTGGTTACAGTTGAACCCATATCAATATATGCTGCAAAAAAAAAAACGATTACATTATCCACAGAAACTCTTATTTCTTTGTCTTCTGTCTCTCTCTGTACACTTGAGATCCCCAGGTAACTTAGACTTCAGATTTACAAGGGATTTGAGCAAGGAGTCTTCTGCCTCAATCATTCTGCCTTCATGCCCCCAAATGGGGCTATACAGTGGTATTAGAGGTAGACACCGTTGTTCAAAAGTTTCAATTTCAAGAGCATGAAGCAAATGGGCTCACACAGTAACATCCAGGCAGACTATAATGTCAGAAAGAATCACAGTCGCTGCAGAGTAAATTGTGGTTCTGGATCTGGGCTGCACCTTTTAACTGCAGACTGTAAAGTCAATTGGTTTTAAACTCATCATGAAAGTTCGTGGTTTATGTTTCTTCACAAATTATCATTCTGTTTCTCACTGTCTGTGATATGATTCATTAGATGAATCCAGCTACTAGACTGCTAGTTGCCCATTTAATTATATAAACTGGGTTGTGTTATCATGACAATACATACTGTTCAATTGACTAAACCATTTCTGACTCTAATTTGCTTTCAGTTTGTCTTTGAAAAAGATTTTACAGTCTGATCCACATGGATTGCTATTTGCCAGAGTTTGGACACAGTTATGTAGTCTAACCAGTCATGGTTCCTACATTAGAAACATAGAGTACACCCCCAAGTTCAAACTTTGTTATGTGCCCCACCATAAGGTAGAGGACCTTGGATCCTAAAATTAGTATCTGAGATATCTTAAGTCCTCCAGTATAATCTGTAGTCCTTCTAACTCCTTCAACAGGAGCAGGATTATGAACAGGAACACTACATCAGGAAAAGCCCAAAACAGAGCTTTGTGAAGGAATTTAACAATGATCTCCTTGTTCCTGGAAGTATTTGAGGATTAAAATTCTTAACAAAACAAAAAGACATAAAAACCTGAATTGCCTAATCCTCAAGTCATTTTCCCTCTCTCTAGTAAACCGAAGGTTACTTAGAACCCCAGGAGTGCCTTTTGCCCGGTTTTATGGTGGTTACTCTCACTTCAGAGCAGCATTCCTCTTTAATCGTCTCCGTTTTCCATAACTTTTCAGGAAAGCCCCAGCCTTGTATCTTCCCCTATCCCCACCATACCCACATAAGGAAAGGAAAAAACAAACATAGTCCCTTGTGGGTGAACCACCTACTAGTTGATTTGTTCAGAGTTGATAGTCAAATGTGCAGTCTTGATACTACTCCATTCACATGTGTTAAATTTCTCCTCTGAGCAGAACAGCTCAGAGTGCTAAAGACAGTTTGGGCAAAGTTAATGTGCTTACCTCAAAATACTGAATAGAAACTTCCATGCTGAATAGATTTGATTTTATGCAGATATATTCCACTTTATCACAGCATCTTTGGCATATTAAATGGCATTTTTGCGATTGTTTAAATTATTAATGTGATTATTTAAATTATTAATCTCCCTTTAATTACTTGAGAGACAAACCTTTTTAACAGTGCTTCCAGAGAAATATGGCATCATTATTAAAAACTTTTTGATTTGCGTATTCCTCATCTTGCGGATTAGATTTTGAGCTGCATAGGTCTATCGAGTGTTCTTCCAAGTATATTTATTATTTTTCTTCTTCAGAAAGTGTCTTAGTTGCCTCAGTTAAATTTCTTAAATAGAGTTTAAAATGTACAGACAGAATATGAAAACTCAGGTTAGCAAAGTTTTGGCAATGTTAAGAAGTTTAGATAGAACACGGTAACTGTAGGCTGGGTATCTTGATAATTATCCTAGTACTATCTTTATTTCTGCATATACTCTGCTATGAAGATAAAATACGGTGTCATACTTAATGACAATATCTTCTCAACTAAATCTTGTTATTGCACTGGTTTACGGTATTTTTGGGTTTGCATTTCTTTTTATTTTGGAGAATATGGGAAAAGTTTCCAAAGAATCTACAAGAATGATTCCAGGTTTGTAAACTACATTCTGTATTTTACAGTGACAAATGAAGGAAATACAATCTGCTGAAGAGAAAAGAAAGAAGTGACTGGTTATGATCTAAAAGGTTTATGTGGAGAACAGATCATTTTGGGGAAATTTTTTTTTTTTTAGAAGTATGAAAATTAGAAGCTGAGTTTTGAAATATCCTGGCTAAAAATACAGGATAGTGTTGTTACAGCCATCATGGTCTGAAGGCAAGATGATGTTTATAGATTTTAGTTTTATTTAGAAATAGGATGAATCATTTTAGTAGTGAATGATTGTCCTGGGTGCTCCATCATTAGAAGTTTAGCACGTGTTATAAAGATGTCATAATAAATCAGCAAAGCGGTCCACTGTTGGCCTTTAAAATCTGTGACATTTGTTGTCCTTGCTTAGATCAGTTTATAGCAGGAGGCAAGGTTGGCGAGGTAATGAGAGCAGCACAATTAGTGTTTATTAGCTAGAGACTGCATTTCTGTGTGGTTACTGGCAAGAGACAAGGTTGGTGAAATGGCACAATACTAGACCGTATTAGAATTATTAGAATTAGAATTATTTCATTTCACTTCACTTTTCTCATGTCCTCAAAAATAAGGTAGAGCTACTAGTAGTAGGATGTGCTATCTGTGAATTTGGTACCCCATCTTCCCTCCTACCCAAGGATTCTCCCATTTTCTGTCACCACCAGTGTACCAGTGCTGGGAAGTATGGTGGAGTTATACCCATATATAAAGAATATTTAAAGGTGTATCCAGCTCCATCTTGCCAGGTACTTGACGACCTCAGGCCCCTCATTTTCTACAGAGCACTGACCATATCAGTAGAGCAGAATTTTAGTGTTTAAAACCTAACAGAGACATATTGTACAGTGTTGCCTTGTAACATATTTCTGAGATTTTGTGGTTCCATGGAATTACAATGGGCATAGGTATAATTATGTATGAAATCAAGCAGTAATTTATTTAATAACAATAGAGAATCCTTGTTTCCCACAGAGCATTGCTGTTATATTTGTCTCTTCTTTCTGTTTTCCTTGTTCTTTTTTTTTTTTTGTTCTTTTCTTAACTGACATGTCTTTTCTTCAGGATATTATTAGAGTTGGTAATTAATAACTGTTTATTTTGCTGTTTTACTTTTCAGCTTCTAGTAAAACATGGTGGAGATTTGTTTGCAGAAAATGAAAATAAAGATACCCCATGTGACTGTGCAGAGAAACAACACCACAAAGAGCTGGCTCTTAACCTGGAATCTCGAATGGTATTTTCACGTGATCCTGAAGCTGAAAGCATTGAAGCTGAATATGCTGCTTTAGACAAAAAAGAGGTCAGAGGATACTTTAAATTTGGGGTATTTTATGCATTTATATTTGTAGCACTTACATTGTGACAAAATTCTGCAAAGTATTTCAGTAGGTACTGTACTTTGTACTATGTATTTGTAAACCATTTGATTTTAAAACAGCTCGTTATAGCTTTCATGTTAAGCTCAGAGAACATAACAAATACATTGTCAAAACTAAAGAGAAGGTTTATTCATATACTTAATTATGTGGACTGTCTTGAAAGTGTTGCAGGCTGTGAGGCTGGACGAAATACAGTAAGCTGGGAAACAGTTGCTCTAAACGAAACATTTTTTACATATTTTTATTTCTTAAGATACCTTTCTGTCTAAAAACGAGGGCAACAGAAATTCTGAAAAAAAGAAAATCTGTAGGATAGAACAGGGAAAATGTTCTGGTGGATCTTCCTAGACTGAGACTGGGTTGAATGTCACCAAAAACCAGCTGAGCAGTACAGGATTTCAAAACAGTGCATTTACTTTCTTGTTTTATAACATGATGCCTGAAGCTACTGCATACCGGAACTTGTATGAAAAACAGGTAATAACAGGTGTTGTTATTTTGAAGTCAATTTTTGAAAGAGAGAGACAATTCGCTGACACAAACTTGCTTGAATTCTGGTGTGCCTTACAGAAGACTGTGATTTGATAAGGACAATTTGACCAAAAAGATTCTGAGCAAAAGTTCCCTCCCCCATCCATTATCAGATTTTAATTAACTAAAATTCTAAATAAGAATGCATAGATAAATTATACGGTTCAGTAAATATTGTGAAGTAATTCTGTGCAAATTAAAGGGCAATAGATTTCTGTATGGCTACTCCCTTCAAAAGTAGCATGGCCTTGCCTTTTACTAGCTTATCCCACTTATGACCTAATGACACTTAAAAGAAAATTCACTCAGATTTAGGTATGAGTAGGCTCAGATCACATCAACTGTTTCCCTGAAAAATGCCATGCAAGGTCACCTTTATTTGAAAAATGCCATACATGGTCACTTTGATTTGAAAGTGAAAAAGTGTTGTACTGTTCAATTCATTTTCTGACTAATTTTCTTGAATAAATTCAAATATAAACAAGCTTAATTGGATTGTTTATTCCTAGATGAGAGGTTTTGAGATGAGGTTTAATATGCTTGAATTGTACATTGAAATTACAAATGTAATTAACTCATTTTAGTTTCTCTGAATATTCCTATATAGAGACACTCAAATTGTTGTAAGAGTATAGTTTGAAATTATATTTTCTCTGTTGGCAAAACCACTTTACAAGACTGCTGCCGTTTCCTGCCACAATTGCAGTTTACCACTCCTTTGGTTGTACAAGTAGAACTATTTGGATGGTTATGCTGTTGACTGGATCATAGCAATGATTTGGCTTAAAAGAAGAAAAAGTTTTAAAGAGTGGTAATATGTAATTGTTTTATTTAACCTGAATAATTTTTATCATTATATTTATAGCATGGGTTTGCTGACATATGCACCAGCAGAGCTAAGACAATAGTGAACTTACAAGTATGGGTGGGGCAAATCAAGAACCACTTGAACAGGCTTTTCGGCAAGAGAAAACAATGTCTCGTGACTGTTTAAGGTGGATGCTCAGAGCAAAATCAGGTTAAAGGCTTGATAGTTACAAGGGACTCAAGTAAAAGGTAATTATGTTAATTTGGGGTCACTTCACTGAGACTGTTAAATGATACGGTTCCTCATTTGACTTGTTTTTAGCAAAGTTGTAGAGCGTGAGAACTGAAATGCAGGCAGGCCTGCACACCTAGATCCATCCGACATACCAGGGCAGCTTTCCCACATGTTCTAAAGATTCACAAGCCAAAAAATGTCAGCCTGGAATTTGGTACACCGATTGGTGGTCTTGGGGCTTCACATAGAGCAATTCTGCCTTCATGTACTCCCTTCTTTTTTTTTTTTTTCCCCCTTTCTTTGTGACTTTTCAGAGGGGTATCGTTCTCTAGTTTCTTGTGTAACTGTAACAGCACAAGTGCTAGCACAAGAGAGATGCCAAGAGCGTGTAGCCAGAAGTTCATTTTTCAATCTTAGCCCTCAGAGTGGCCGAAACCATGTGGAAAAAAACAGTCTTAGAAGGACTAGCACTGGACTGCAATCCAAATGACTGCATGTCCTCATCCTCCAGGTCTGTGGACAAATGTCTGGGATGGGCAGTGAAAGCTGCACGCTTACCACTGATGATGCCTCTAGCTGTTATCTTAATGGGGCATGAGAATTGATCCAAAAGCCTTCCCCAGAACACATATCCTTCAGCAAAATTGCCCCTCAAAGATGGTCCTCTACTTTTTTTCTCTCAATTTCATTTTTAAAAGATATTAAACACTGAGAGACGCGAGTGTGCAAAATGCGTGTTTAACATAGTATTTAGATTGTGATTGTTTGATGATGCCCTTTGACATCCTTCCAAAACACAAAAAATTAATTCATGAAGAATAAAAACATTTTTGGAACACCAAGAAATGCATTTTCAAAGTAATTTCGTTGCTTGAATGAAGATTAGAGGAAAAGATAATACATCTGAAAACCATGAATAGGATTTCTTCCCAGGCAAAACAGCCAAACGGGCTTAACTCCGGTGTTTATGATATGCACAGTAGTATCTGGAATGATAGTACCCACTACTTCCCCTTCCAGACCTGCCATGTTTGCAGCAGAAAATAATCCTCTTTTTCATAGAGAGCAAAAGATTTTTGTGGTGCTCTGTGCAGAGTCATTGAATTAAGTGTGTGTATGCAGAGTAATAACAAAGCTTTGTTTCTGATGTTGAGAACCAGTTCATGTTGTTCTTCACATTGAAATATTACCAAGGAATTATGTGACTGTTCATGTTTAGAATTGAAACACTTGTAATAGTGGAAAAAATAACTTGCACATACCGTTCTTTGATTACAGAGGCTCTCAAGCCATTAAGAAATACAGATTACTGAGTAGACCCACATTCAAGTTTGAGAGCCCAACAGCAAAGAGCTGTCCATCTTCCAGCAGTTCAGTTTACTCCTTCCACAAGGGTTTCTGAATAAAATCCATTTCCGTCGTATAGTTACCCAACCTTTTAAAATCTTACTTTACTACAGTGCTCCCTGAAGCATATTTTTAAAGAAACATTTCTATTTTACTTTGTTTTTAGTACACCTCAAACATTTTTAGTGATCAAATTAGAGACTGTAGTTAAAGATGGGTAGCAAACAGGCCCTAATAATTGTGAAACACAAACATGATTGTTAAGTGTGTTTACACAAAATGCAGTTTGGAAGGAAAACAATGTACCAACACACACATAATCTGTATTTTCCTGTATAAAATGGAAATGCTAAATATTTTAAGAATGGAATATAAAGTGTGACTCTCTTAACACTGTAGTTAGTTGTAGCAAAAGAAGATCCATCTATGATGTGTGGCCAGTGGAAAGGGTATTAGAAAACATGCCAGGAGAGTATTTCATATGACCTTCTTTGTCTTGATTCTTTTCTCTTACTTTGTTGATGAACAGACTCCAAAAAAAATCTGTTATGTAAAATCTAAGTTTATATTTATCTTTTAAATCTAATTGAAGTTATACTAAATAATATGACTGTAACTGATGATATTTTAAACTGCTTTTATAGATTTTTGTTGTTTTATTTCCACAGTCTTTAATTTTCTGTTTATTCTAGCATGGGAGCGTATTTGTCTTGGTGATGTATCCCTGAAAGATAATAGGCACCTTCATTTCAATCACATCATGCAATGTTTTAAACTGGGAATGAGCAGTACTTCACAGCAGATCATCCAGAACAGTTTTGTCTCTCAGTCAGACTCACAGAAATACTTTGTGCAATAGCAAAGTATATAATTTCATAGTTCATTTTACATATGTGCCACTGAATACTGTAGAAATACACTGCTAGTGAGTGTATCACAGGTTTATTGAATGTATAGTAATTGGAATGGTTTTGTTCAGTTCCAGAATTGATGTCATATAAATATATATATAATGCAAATATCATAAATACAAAGAGTTATCTAAAATTATTAAAATGTACTTTGTCTCTACAGCTAGAGAATGGTTTATTAACTGAAAGGAGAGAAGGGGACTGCAGGTAGTTAAGATATATACACATTTATATACATATAGTACATATACTTATACTTGAATGAGTTAAATGAAGTATAGATTATTTTTTAAATATATGACTCCATTAACTATAGAACTCCATCCACCCATAAAGGAGGATATTTACGCGAAGTATATTTGACACCATTTAATTATACAGTCATCACTGTAGCAAAGAGTTACTTTGCCCTTGTCTATTTTAATGGTACTTTAAAAGTGAAGAAAATAATAGTAGCTTGAAATGACCTGTTAAAATAATCAGCTTACATGTTAAAAGTACTTTCAGGAGAAAAACAATTATATAATTTATGATATCTAAATATTAGTGGTAAAAAATTGAGAAGAAAATAGTTTAAAAGAAGAGTTCTTGAGAATACAAAAGTGTTGAAATCTGTACTGAGAAGCTCACCAATGGATTAAAGTAGTAACTCAAATACTATATTCCAAAATTATTATATAGTTAAATGATGCTAATATTGAACAATGCCTTTTTCACAGCAAATATCAATAAAGAGCTCCTCCATAAATGAGTATTAAAGGAGGTCTCTGAGCATCATGAGCTGTAATCAAAATCCTTTCCAGTATATGGCAGTGCAGAGAGAAGTCATCAATGTTTGAAGTAGTTAAAAACAAACCTTTATGATATTACATAAAGGATATATCCTTATAACTAAAGACTGTCTTCGCAAGTCTCTACAAGACTATGTCTTGTACATATGAACATTTTTAAGGGTTCTCATTGTATAAAGCCTTCACTTTGGAATTTCCAGGTTAAGCTACTTAATAGTGCCAGCCTAAAATTTCCTTTCTTCCAGCTTCTTCTGTGGGCTCATATATTATTATATGAAACAAATGTCTAAAGTTTCAAACACATTCATAAGAAATATTTCCCTCATTACTTGAAAAGATAAAATTAGGATTCTTAAAAACCGCAGGAACCAAAAATCCCTGCTGGGTTGTGTGGAATGCTCCAGCTGAGATAATATAATAGTCTGTTACTCAAGGGAGATAATTGCTAGTGTTTGACCTAGAACCAATCAGTTAAATATCATTATGAGCATATCTGCAGTTCAGGATAACTAGGTCCTAAAATATGCATGTATGTTGCAGAAAGAAAAGACATTTCTTTTTATGATGTATGTGGTCTTCAAGAATTGAATACTGTTGGGCTGACAAAGCTACTTGTTTTACAATTGCAATTCAAAATGCAGTTCAGATTCAGTCAAGACAATTTACTCTGTTTCCATTTTTTTGCAGCATATTCATGCAATTATAATCATTCAGGCACCCAGCTGTTTGCATCCCTGTCTCTCTGACATGTTTTTATAAATGATCTCTTTTGTAAGAAATTAAGTAGGTCAGTCAAATTCCAGCATGCTATGAATCAAGCGGCCCAGATTTATTTCAGTGCAAGCCATTAACGTTCAGATTGTCCTTTACTGAGTCATGCGTGATCAGCAATGGAAGGACATACAGAAATTCCTCGAACTTGGGCAATCAGGATGAAGGTCAGGACACTCACAGTCCATTTCTCTTCTGCTTTTCTTGCTTTCTCAAAAAGGACAAAGACCCAGTGCAGAGTTATGGCACCATTACTCTTGCTGATCACAAAGTTTCTAATATCGAGAAGCTCCTGTTTATATTACTGACTAGCTTACAGAAGCAGTCCTTGTGGGAGTCAGTTATGTTTTCAGATGCATTTTATAGAGTTTATTATGATATCTAGAATGTAGAAAGCATCTTATGTTTTTAGAGTAGGAGTCTCAAAAGAAGAAAATTATTTAGAAGCCCAGGTATCCATTTCTTCCCCTTTCTTATACCTTCTGCTTGTTATCCTCAAAAGGTTATGTGCACAGTAGACTTTTTTTAGATTGTAAACTTCTGAAGATACAACCAGTCTTTTGCTTCGTGTCTATGTATGTATGTATGCATGTGTGTGCATATTATCTAGCACTGGAGGGTCCTGGACTATGGTCTACATAAAATCAAAATATAGATAGTAAATAATAATGATGTGTGGTCTTAACTGTAGTTATCTGTTTTCGCTGCTGCTCTGCGTCCTTTCTTCTCCAAATTGGTGAAGACAATTGCCATTTTGTGGCCAGGTTCCTAATTAGTCCTGAGCACATATCAGTTTTATGTCAAATGCTTTAGATCTTTTGTTAGCTATCCTTTATGTAAATAAAACCGGTGCATGTAAGAATAATTTTTTCACATACCCTTTCTGTATCTATTCTCTGTACATATCCTCCCACTTGTTTTTCTCTTTTTACCTTTTGGGCATTTTCCCTGTGCAACACTAACAAATACATTATTTGCTGTCATGTTCTTCCTTAGTTTTAAAAAGGAGTCTGCAAAACATGTGTATGCATCTCCAGTATCTTGGTTGGAGCTAATTCAGAATCTTAAAATTACTGCCTTTTTGTTTTTCTAATTTGACCTTTTTTTAATGCTATAATAAGGGGATGTAGCTCCAGACCAGGAAGGCAGCTTGATGATCTGCTCTGACTGTGTAGGGCTATCAGAGTTCACCACTGTTTCTCAGTTTTGACATCTTCATGCACAATGAATCCCCAACCTTGGAGATATTCAAAAGCCATCTGGACACGGTCCTGGGCAGCTGGCTCTAGGTGACCCTGCTTGAGCAGGAGGGTTGGACCAAATTACATCCGCAGGTCCCTTCCAACCTCAACCATTCTGTGTTTCTGTGAACCTCTAACTGCATGTCTCACCTATCCTATTCATGGCTGACTTCTCCATTTCTGTAAGGGTTGATATTGCCTCAAAAGACCTCTACCTGGTTCTGTTCACAAACGTTCCCTTCTTACTATCTAATGTCTCAATGTATCCTCCTCCAGATCAATTCAAAGTTAACAGGTATCAATTCATGTATAAAGTTAGTGTCAGAGGATCTATATGCAACATATGTTAACCTGTCCTTTCTCTCACTCTCCCCTGAAATCCTTAGTTCACATCTAGACATGCATTCTCATACCCATGCCACAATATTTGAAGTTTAATCACTTCAAAATTCAGCTGGATTCTGTGAAAATCTAGCTTTTTTTGAGAGAGTCAATGTTAGGCTAGTTCATCATTTGAACATGGCCTCCAGCTATAATGGAGAACTCTAGAGATACTGTTTTTTAGATTTTGAAATGCACAAAGATCATACTGTAAGTATTGTAAAATGACAGTATTTCCATATAACTTTGCATGGTCATTGTTCTGCACAATGAATAAATTTTGCCACATATTGCCTCACAGTTAAGATGATGATCAGTAAAAGTGCTTTGAATGTTTTCATTTTAATATGGAATTAGAGACTAACTGGAAAATACTGCTAGACATAAATTGTCTTTCTTCTTCTTCTCAAAGCCATATGAGGGGCTAAGACTTCAGGACCTGCGAAGGCTTAAGGATATGCTGATCGTGGAATCTGCTGACATGCTCCAAGCCCCGCTGTTTACGGCAGAAGCTCTACTTCGGGCACATGGTAATCCAAAACCTTAAAGACTAAAGCAACTGTTTTCAGCAAAATCAAAATTGCAGTTGTATGTTTATTTTTTATTTCCAAGTGAAAGAGAAGTAACGATTAATCAAATACCAGGAAACAGTTCACACAGTACTTCAGAAAGAAGTACAGCTGCAGTATGTCAAAAAGCGTTGAGGCAGACAGGGAAGCTGATAGGCAAGTGATTCAAACTAGGAATTATGGCTTAGGGGCTGGTGCCATTGGCGAAATTTTGG